CAAAACAAAAGGTGTTGTTGAATCATCCACTTGAAGAAGTGAAAGTGCATATATATCTCCAAAGACGGAGATTTTTTTTTTTTTTTTTAATTTTCTGGGCCGCAATTGATATGGCTGAAATGATCATGTCAATTGGACCATATGATTCCTTTGACCTATTCAATGGGTAGACATTATTGTAATATTTTTATTCTTTTGAAGATTTTTATTTTCATAATGTGGCAGCTAATCAATTCCCCATTCTATAAGGATATGTTTGGTTTAATAGAAAATAAGAGAGAATCAAAAGTTGAGTAAAGTGAATTCCATCAACTTTTTCTTTCTATTTTAGCACCCCACACTTGTTAAGTTTAACAAAATAAGAGCCAACCGAGGGCTGGTTTAGCTGGGTTGTCCTGCAACCAGCACTATGGGGAAAAAGGGTAAAAGGAGAAAGTAATTGCTGACTAACCAAGCTGTGCCCACCATTCTATTTGGTGACACACCAAATAGAACGGTGGCACATCATTTGCAAACCACTGATTGTGGTTTGCTTAATTATGAAGAAAATTTTTAAAAAATCCCATTATACCCCTAAGCTCAAGTATAAATAGGGGTCCTCCTATGTTAGTTGATAACATATTTCATTTCATTTTAGTGTATAGTGTATATAGTGTGTTGAGAGGAGTATTGAGTGTTGGGTACAGGTGAGATTCCGGTGAGACCATTTTGTATTTTTTTCCTGTTTATAATAAGAAGGAAGCTCCGAGTTGCTACCCGTGGACGTAGGCATTTTGGCCGAACCACGTAAATCTGGTGTTCTCTCTTCATTCTTTCTTTATTGCTATCTGCTTTTATTTTCTTTCTGTGCACGTACAAATTACATTATTTCCGCTGTGCAATTCCAACAATTGGTATCAAAGCCACACAGTTCAGTTCCAAGATTCTGCCGAAATCTGTATTTGCTATTCCGGTATTGCACGTGTTGAATATGGCGAGTTCGAGCTCTACCCGGTTCGACATACCGAAATTCAACGGATCCAACTATGCAATTTGGAAGTTGAAGATGCATGCTGTGTTGGTGAAAGAAGATTGTGCAATTGCCTTATAAGAAAAAGAGAAAAAGCCTGCTAATATGAAAGACGAAGATTTTGAGAAGAAAAACCAGATAGCCATGGCTGATATTCTTCTTGCTTTAGAAGATTCGGTTCTATTCAATGTGTCCGAGGAAGCCACTGCCAAATGTTTATGAGACAAGTTGCGGAATCTCTAAGAGGGGAAATCGATGTCCAACAAAATCTTTCTCCGACGACAACTCTACGATTTGAGGATGAAGGACGGAGCCTCTTTGCAAGTACACCTGAATGAGTTCAACACTCTCGTAAGCAAATTAGCAACTATAGAGGTACGTATTGATGACGAAGAAAATGTTGCTCTTTTGCTTTGTTCTATGCCAGACTCTTGGGATAGTTTGATAATGAATTTGAGCAATACTAAATATTTGTCATTAGAATCTACTATTTCTATGTTGCTTACGGAAGAATCTCATAGAAAAGTTGGTGAGAATTCTTCAGGTGACGCAATGATGGTACGAGGTAGATCGAATGAGAGAAACGACTCTATAAAAAATCAAACGAGATCCAAGTCAAGAAGCAACAAGAAAGGAATCAAGTGTTGGAATTGTGGTAAGAAGGGGCACCTTCGAAAAGATTGTCGGCAACCCAAAGTAGAGCAAAATTGGCCCAACTCTAACAAAGATCCGACTTCAAATAATTCCCAAGGAAACATCGCAGAAGGAAATGATTCATCAGAAGATGGTGAGGTACTGTCTATTGATTCTTGTAAAAATTTAAAGCATAACTGGATATTAGATTCTAGTGCTTCTTTCCATATGACGCCATGCAGAGATTGGTTCTACACATACCAATCGTGCAATGGTGGGATTATTTACATGGGTGACAATAGTACATGCAAAATAGTGGGAATTGGAGACGTTATAATTACTATGTTTGACGACATCACTAGTACAATCTCTGGTGTACGGTATGTTCCTGAACTGTGAAAGAGTCTCCTGTCACTAGGAAAGTTTGATGAAGACGGTTACAAGTTTTCTGGAGAAAAGGGTCAATTGAAGATCAGTAAATGAGCTATGGTAATTGCAAAAGGCAAATTACAAGGGAAGCTATACCACTTGATCGGGGATACCATGGTCGGCGATTTCATCGTTGCAAATGCTATGACCGATTCTGTCATGATTTGGCACAGACGTTTGGGTCATATGAACAAGCAAGGACTTAATGTACTTCTTGATCAAAATCTACTTCCTGGCTTAAAATCTACTGATTTGAATTTCTATGAAGATTGTTTATTTGGGAAACACCACAGAGCTAGTTTTCCCAAGTCTAAAGCTAGGAGTAGAGAGGTATTAGATCTAATACACTCTGATATGTGGGAAGCTACTACGGAATCTCTTGGAGGTTCATTATACTTTGTCTCTTTTATTGGTGATTTTTCCAGAAAAGTATGGGTATATTTACTCCAACGGAAGAGTGATACTTTTTCCTATTTCAAGAAGTGCAAAGCTCTAGTTGAAAATCAGAAAGGGAAAAGAATTAAGTGTCTGAGAACTGACAATAGGAAATAATATACCTCGAAAAAATTTAAAGATTTTTGCAATGAGCACAGCATTCTGAGACAGTATACGGTTTCACGAACTCCACAATAAAACGGAGTTGCTGAACGGATGAATCGTACACTTATGGATCGAGCTAGAAGCATGTTGAGTGCAGATGGGCTGGAGTAGTATTTTTGGGCAGAAGCAGTCAATACAACATGTTACCTAGTAAATCGCTCTCCCACTACGACACTTGATTGCAAAATTCTAGAAGAGGTATGATCAGGAAACCCTGTTGATTATTCTTTTCTACGTACATTTGGTTGTGATGCTTATGTTTGGATTCCTAAGGAGCAAAGGACCAAGCTAGAGGCAATGTCCAAAAAGTATATTTTTCTTGGCTATGCAGAAGGTACAAAGGGATACAGATTGTGGGATCCTACTGCTCACAAGATAGTTGTTAGCCGAGATGTTGTCTTCATGAAGATTCGATGCAGAAAAAATCAAGCTCTAAAACAATAGAGAAAGTTGAAGTGGAATCTTTTCAAAAGATTCAAGAGCAACAAATTGATACAATTGTTGATGTACCTGAAGAGCACATTGAAAATTTTGAAGGAGATACTTACAGTGATCAAGGTTGATCGAGGAGAGCTACAAGACCTTCTGTCTGGCTTCAGGATTATGTAACAGCTTATGCTTGCATTACAGAAGAGTACGAGCCTTGTTCATACCAGGAAGCATGCAAATGTCCAAATGCTCGTCATTGGCAAATGGCAATGGAGAAAAAAATGGAAGCTTTGAAGAAAAATAAAACTTGGGACTTAGTTAAACTACCTAAGAATCGAAAGGCCATTGGTTGTAGATGGGTGTACAAACTCAAAAAGGACACTAATAGGAATATTGAAAGATACAAAGCTCGACTAGTTGTAAAAGGATATGCTCAGAAATCAGGTATCGACTTCAACAAAATATTTTCTCCTGTTGCTCGATTAAGTACTATTCGTATTCTATTGAGTATGGCTACAATATTTGATTCGGAGCTGGAGCAGTTAGATGTTAAAACTGCATTCTTGCATGGTAATCTTGAAGAAGAGATTTATATGACACAACCTAAAGGCTTTGTCGATGACGACAAAAATGATCTAGTTTGTCAGCTGACCAAATCACTTTACGGTCTAAAACAGGCGCCAAGGTGTTGGTATTATCAAATGCGAAGCAGATCTTTATGCCTACACATACTTTGGTAATGATCACTTCATCATTTTGTTGTTATATGTTGATGACATGCTAGTTGCAGGTACTGATAAAGGAAGTATCTCAACATTGAAAGCTCATTTGGCTAGGGAGTTTGACATGAAGGATCTGGGGGTGGTTAATCAGATTCTTGGGATGATGGTATATAGGGACAGAAAGAACATGAAAGTCTGGATAACTCAAAAGAGTTATGTTCAAAGGGTCTTGCGGCACTTCAACATGCAAGATTCCAAACCAGTCAGTATCCCATTTTCTGTCGGTTGCAAGTTGTCTTCGGAACAATCACCTAGCACTGAAGCTGAGAAGACAGAGATGTCCCACATACCATATTCATCATCAGTAGGGAGGCTTATGTTTGCCATGGTGTGCACCAGACCATACATTGCACAAGCAGTGGGAGCAGTCAGTAAGTTTATGGCAAATCTAAGAAGAGATCATTGGATTGCGGTGAAGAGAATCCTTCGGTATTTGAAGGTTACTTCTGAAATCTCCATTTGTTATAGTGGCCAAAGTTTAAAACTAGTTGGTTATGTGGATGCAGATCTCGTTACAGAAGATCCACACTAACAACAGCACTGCTGATATATTGACAAAGCCGGTGATGAGAGAGAAGTTCATTTAGTGCAGGACTTCTCTGGGACTTGAAGCTACATAGCAAGAGATGATCTGTAGCTATTCTCGAGCGAATTTTTCTTCACTATGAAAATTGTCTTCAAGTGGGAGAATGTTGAAAAGAAAAAGGTGGGCCAGTCGGTGGCCCACCGAAATTGCAATCGGTGGCCCACCAAGCTGTGCCCCCCATTCTATTTGGTGGCACACCAAATATAGGTATCAATTCTCCCATACGTCTAACTATTATATACTTTTCATTCATTCACATTTCACAATATGTAAAGACTTGGATATATAGGTAGAGTTTGTGAAATATTATGTATGAAACTGTTGCTTCTCAAGAATTGTAATATAGATATAATTTACCAGATTTCCTTAATGCCATGACAATTAATGCTTGGTTTGTATCGATCCTAACATACGATGACAAATCTCCAAGGTAAGAATTTCCCCCGGTGCATGAATATTAAATATTTTCTGAGGCCTCTAGTACTACAAGAAAGAAAAGATTTAAACAAAACTGCCAAGACATACGAGCAAATCAGGACCTCTTGAGCTTAAACAAGTGATCCAGAAATTCTTCAATGTTCTTGTCTGAACTGCCACCTGCATCAAGTGCTTTCTTAGCTAACTCCTTCCATCTTGTTGTATTCTTCCTAATAGTTTCCCCTCTCACTCCTTCCATCACTTCCTTGAGGCATCGTTCAATTTCTTCCCCCCTCACAATCCCCTTCTCAATATCCACCTTAGCTCGTACTCCCACTTCCCACACACTCTCCACACACTTGGCATTAGTGGGTTGGTCCGACCACTGTGGGATTCCCACCATTGAAACTCCTAAGCTCAATGCCTCCAGCGTCGAATTCCAGCCACAGTGTGTCACAAAGCATCCAACTGCTCGATGATTCAACACCTCCAACTGGGAACACCACGGCACGACCAAACCATATTCTGATGTATCCTCTTCGAACTTCGTTGGCAGCTTGCTTTTCTCCTTTTCTCTCACTACCCATAAGAAATTTCTTTTGCTTTCCCTCAGACCCTTGGCTACTTCCTCCATCTGCTCCTCTCCCAATTTTGCAAGACTTCCGAAGGATATGAACACAACGGACCCTGCTTCTTTTGTGTCCAGCCACCCTAGATAAGCATCAGTGTTCGCCTTCCGGAGACTCAGATCGGTGTCCCCATCAACACTCTTATTTAAATACACTGAAGGTACAGATGGGCCAATCGTCTTTACCCGCCAGAGCCCCACCAGGGTACTCAACACCTACATGGGACCAGAACATCAGTAACTCTTCACAGCTGGTATTGTATTGGAACAGAACAAGTTAAATGGATCAATTGGAACTGAATCACACAATATTCGAAGTCGAATCCAATTAGAATATTGAAAATTATTGTTAGAATTCGATTAAATATTTAAATATTCAATTCGATTTGAATTCCACTGATTAATTATATTTTAAGTAATTAATAAATGTTTTTATTTTTATAAAGTATATAAATATATGATTTTTTTATATAATTTAAATATTATATATATATAGAAATTATATAAAATACTTAAATATTTTATATATATTATATATAAACAGAATTAAATAATTGGTCGAATTCGGATATTTATCGAATCGAATCAGGTTATATCTGACTTCGATTTGATTACTTAAATAATATGAATAGGATATTTAATAAATTTAACCGATTATATGATACTCGAGTTATCCAAATTCGATTTAATTATGTCGAATCTTAAATATTGAGTAGCCAATGAGATTATAACACCTCACGTTTGGAATGGTTTTAGAGCCTTACCTCACTCTCCAGGTCGTGAAAAGTGTTGATGAAGACCCAATCTACTTTATCCAAATTAGAAAATTGACCCAAAAGCATACTGAAGAAGTATGAATTGTTAGACTCTTTGTCCACAATGAAAGATGGGAACTCCGTCACCCCAAGCGGTGGCAGCCCAGGAAGCACTACTGTATCTTGCTCTGCTGAAGGGATGGTGACACACTCCTGTCGGACATGATAGTAGATGGCGAAAACAGCGCAGGATTGAGTGACGAAAGAGGCTCCTTCCAAGCCAAATCTCTTGGCTACGTCCAGGACCCAAGGGAAAAACGAGTCATACACAAGACAAGTGAAAGGATACTCAGAGCCTTCATACTTCTGAATCACCTCGGCTAGAGTTCTCGACCCCACATCCTTGAATCGCTCATTGTAGGCCTCGGCACCGCCGGCGGAGTCAAAGCCACCTTCATCGAAGCCATCGGAGATCGTCTCGATTGGGATTGAGCCAACATCTGATTGCATGGATTTGCTAATGAAGACTGTCACAGCTAGTGTGGATTTGATGCCTTTGAAGATTAGACGCTTAGCAAAATGGAGCAAAGGGTTCATATGGCCTTGGCCTGGACCAACAAAAACCAGGACATGGGGCGTCGGCAATGAATCTCTTCCATTATTCTCCATTTCTTTGGCTACAGAAATCCATGGATTAGGGGGGAGAAGATGTAACATATATAGAAATGAAGGTGAACGTTACGTTCTAATATGGGACAGAATTATACTACCAATAATAAATTTTAGGTAAATTGCTCAAACCTCCCCCTGAGCAAAAACCAAAAAAAAAAAAAAAAAACTCCCTTGAAGATCAATAATTGCAATCACCTTTTCTGAATTTTCTGACACAGTTGCAAGTAGACCTCATATGTTAGAATCTTCTAAAAAGAAGCATGAAAATGTTCAAAATACCCATGTAGTTATTATTGAGTCTGTTTTTTTTAGAGAAAATAACACAAACTTTATGAAAACATATGAGAGAGAGAGAGAAAAAAAAAAGAATTTGAAGTTGTAACTTTACCTTTGAGCGATTGATATGAAGGATAAATTAGAAAAATAAATCAATTTCAGAAAAGAGATTGAAAAGATTTGGGATAGTCGGTTTATATATAGGAAAAACTTTGAAAATAAACTTTTTAGTTAAAGGTAGTGCATGGGTATTTTGGACAATTACATGCCTCTTTTTAGAGGATTCTAGCAGAAGGAATCTATGTGTCAAAAAGTTTGGAGGGAACTGATTACAATTACCATTCTTCAAATATGATTTTTGCAACAACCCACAATTTCAATAAAGGTTTCAGCAATTTATTTACCCAGACTTTTTCCCCCTATAAATTACACTATAGCTAGACAATTGCTTGAGCAAACAAAAATCCGCTTCATGCGCTGTATCTCCCACATTCATTCACTTTGAAAATCTCTACAGTTCAGCACTAAAGGACCTTCCATTTTTGCAATCCCAGAAAATAATCTTTCTTGCATTGGCATCACTGTGCACGTGGATTGACTGTGCTAAATTTAATACTTTGGGTAGATTATAGACGAGCTTGCATTTCCTGCATGCTTCCAATAAATTCTATGCATTACATCAACTGATTTTAATTAATTTTATTTCAAAGGCCGGTGCATTGGCAAGAGACTGAATCATTCTAGATATTATCATTGGTAGAACGTTCCAGAATACATCCCTTCTGTGTATTGGAAACATCTCCTGATCCTTCTAAATATTATTATTGGTAGATGTTTTCAATAAACGGCAGGGATGTGCTGTGGGACGTTGTGGGGGGTAGACTTAAACTCCATTGGCAATTCATTTTTGGCCTGTGGGTCGCATGCAATACGGTTGCGCAGGAAATGCTTTCTCATTAGAAAATGCCACTCTATGCTTTGGCGTATTAGCATTTAATTCCTAGAATTTTCATTTGTGATAAAAACCCGAATTTGGACTGATTGGAGATAAAATCATGCACACCGGGCTAGCTATGTCAGTGTTTAGTACATATGGGGCTTGCAGTGAATACTCGCATGTCCACTCATGATAGGTAGCCCATCCCAATGTACATGATTTTGTCTCCCACTCATCCTGACTACAAAAAACCCACCCTGAACTTTAAGATTTTAGCACTTTGCCCTACTATCAGCATTTTATTAGTTGTGTTTTAAAAACCGACACGGAAGTCAAATCGTTTTTGCCTTTGGGTCGCAAGTCACCAATTCGACCGTTTTGGGTTGAATGGGTTAGACTGTTTTTTATTTATATTTAATTTATTTTTTTAATTCAGTTTTTTTATTTTTTATTTACAAAAATATTAAAAATTGAAACTTATGGCTAAAAAAAGGGGGTTTTAGCAAAAATAGTGGGGCGAGACACATAGTTCTCGAAAAATTACCCAAAATAAAAAGAAATCACCTCAATCGAACATTGGAGTGCAAAGTTATGACCTCCCAAAGTTTATATACATAGTATGCAACCTGTGACCTGACCATTGAATTAACCGGGTCAATGGTCCAACCATCCAGGTCAAACAAATTTTGACCAAATCAACGGGTTTTGACCTTTCTCCGGATTTTACTCAACGACGGGTTGAAAACACTATTTTAGTTAACTTTAGAAAACTTTTTCAAGTGATTACCATATGTGCGAGTAAACATTATTAAAACCCCAAACTGCCCTAATTTTATTTTATGAGTCATTTTTGTAGAAAATTGATAAAATAAACAACAAAAACAAATACAGAGAATAAAGGAAAAGTAGGAAATTGAAAAATACTGGAGTTACAACAAAAAAATGAATAAAAAGATGAGAATTAATCAAAATAAAAAGACAAAATATAAGAAAGAAAAGGCACAAAATATATAAAAAAGGAAAATATAGAAAACACTGAAAATTGCAAAACAAAAACAAAATAAATACAAAAAAGAAGAAGAAAACTGAGAAAATACAATAAAAATATAGATAATTGGAGATAAAAAAAGGAAGGTACAAAAATACGGAAAAATAAAAAACAATAGTAGGCATTTTTAAAATTTTATCACTACGTCAGGCTCGTTAACAGGGGTGAGGGCGAAGTAAGAGAACATGAAAGTTCAAGGTGAGCATTTTGTCACAACCCCCAAAGCGCAAGGTAGCAATCTATAATTTAAGTTTAATATTTTATCAAATTTCATTAATAATTTTGTTTGTGTTTACTTTATCTTTATTTAGGATAAAATAATAATTAGTTATCTATTTTTAATAAACCTTTTTAATCCTTTTTCTTTGTTTGTTCTTTTTAATTCGGAGTATGTCCACATGAGAAAGATTCATTTTACCTTGGTGGTATGAATATTTTGGCAAGTCTCTAACTGTAAGAGTCGTTACTGTTATCTAAGACTATCATTGGAGGTTCAACCATAATCAGCAAGAGGTACAACTCATTTGAGCAATTGATTGTACCCTAAGGTTGTGTTTGGTTTGAAAGAAAAAATAGGGAAAGGTAGGAAAATTTATACAAAGTTTGTAAAGGTTTTCTTACCTTTCCCTTCCTTTCCCTATTTTTTTCTCGAAACCAAACATAGCATAAGAGTCTTAAACACCAAATTCATAAAAAAAAAAAAGTCTTAAACACCAACCAACCCTGGTGCTAAAGAAGATTCAAAAGGGAAGAAAATCATATTAAAGGCCAGTTTGCAACTAAGGTTTTTAAAATCGACCTGAACAACGAACTGGTCAGGGGTCCAGTTCTCGGGTTGAACGATCGGTCCATTCTAACAAAAAAAATAAAAAATAAAAAATGGTCAAAACCGTTGAACGGTTCAACCGCCCGAATCAACGATTTGTTGATCAAATCAACATTTTTTAACAAAAATCTAGTTTTAGAGAAAAATGGAATCGGTCACCTGACCGATTCCCGGTTTTTCTGGTGCAACCATCTGGTCCGGCCCGGTTTTGAAAACCATGTTTGCAACAATGTGCCCTAATATCTTCTAACCCATAAGCTTCTATTCTTTGTTACAGGTTGGTCGTCTCTACTATTACCATTAGACTACTTATTCGTATCTGTGATTTATATATGCAGATTGTGATTATTTTATTAAAACTGAATTGCCTTATACTGCAACAATCTTAGATCTGATTTCCTTCAATTTTCATCACCACTTTGTTGAATTGAAAACTACAAGTTAACATCGTAATAGATCTTTACAGAGTCACAACTCACAACAGTCTTTCGCCGGTAAGCATATTGGGCTTGAATTTATTAGGGGAGAAGCTTCGGTCAAGACTCAAGTGGAGTGAGGTTCATAGATAAGATTTTATTTTTGAATGCGCCTTTCACATAAAGGCCCATTGGACTTGAAGCATGGACAAGTACAAATTCACTTATACTTTGGGTTTCAATTTAATTAATTATAATGAAGACAATAAAGATCAAACACTAAATCACTCGATCAAACAAGGTTTGATACCATCTCAAGAAAGCTTTTCAACCGAAAAGGTTAAACTATTAGATGAGGTCTCTGAATAAGTTTTCATTCTCCAACAAAGGATTGATGCCAGAGCAACATGTGATGAAAAATGTACAAGTTGGGAAGGATTTGAGGGGGCTGCCTTGGATGAGGAAAAGGCATGGAATGTTTTCAATGCGATTTAGTTCTAGACGATACCAATAAAATGGATTTATATCTGGATGATCTATTTGTACTAGAAAAATATAGTGATGCCAACCACTCTGAAAAACAAAATCTACTTGTAGCAATGAATTCATGTGATGTGGTGGAGTAATTTAATGGAAATCTACTTGTGGCTATGAATTCATGCTAAGAGATACCATGAATTAAGTCATCAAGGGGTAAGAATAAGTCACTATGAAGTTTAAATCTTTCCTATAGTGTAAATAATACAGATTACAAATCATAGTAAGGTTGAGCTTATAAACTCTTAAATGAATTGGAATCAGCTGGAATGGGATTTTGTTTCAAAAGAGGGGAGTGATTGATCATTCCCTTAAATGAGAAATGTCATTCCACCTAAAATGGGAATGGGATTCAGATTCCATCCAACCAAACAGTTGAAAATTGGAATCGGAATTCCCCATTTCAAATGAGACCTTAAATCCTAAGGAATAAAGGAAGGAACTCAATGAAGCAGATATGAGTTTCGATTTTGAGTGAGTAGTTAAGATGCCTAATACTTTCTACACTTGTAACCTAATCTCTTATTAGCCTGATCAGAGACCGGTTTTGGAGTCACTTGGATGATTTTAGATTAAATTTCCCTTTTTAAAATGTTTTACAAAATCATCCCTACCCCACCTTCCCTCTTTCTTAATTTTTAGACACAGAAATTAATAGGTGGCAACTCCCCAATGTCCCCACAACCGCAAGGCATTGTTTTGTCTCATACTACTTGTAGGACTCTGGTGCAAGCTTTTGTTTTTTTTCATTCAGACTTGAAACCCTATGGGTCCCATACAAACCGAGATTCACCTATACTATGCACAATATTGATTGGATTTACTTGCAAAAGGATCCAGATTTTTCCTATTTGAAAATGAGCTAAGATTTGGGGAGAAATCCCGATCCTAAATCAACTCTACCCAAGTTAAATTGTGTAGTCTCATACTCAATGTGTATATATTTTAAATTTTATT